CGCCCCTGCCGCCTCTAAGAAGAAATCACAGAAGAGAAAAAATAAACTTGTGAAAGTTTAAACTCCACTCAACAAAGAAAGCCAGATGTGCCTCCTGAGTTGGCCCAAGAGCCACAGGTCAGAAGACTTTCTTTTTCCTTCTTTAAACCTCTGCCCCTGACTATCCAGCCAGGGCCTGCGATACCCAGACAGTGCAGCTCAACAGCCATCCCAGCTGACAGAATACTGGTCACCCCGAAAATAAATATTCCACATAAAAGAGCCATTGTCTCTGCTGGGTGACAATTGTTGCTATTCTCCCTCCTCGGCTTGGTAACATTGGAAAGCACTGCCAGTGCTGTTCAGGGTTCCTTCTTGCTCCGGCAAAATATTTGGAGAAAGGACAATCTCTCTGGGTCTCTGTGAGCCATTTGGCAGGCCTCCTCCTGTACCTGGCCAAGGAACAATTAGCTCTTCAAGGTGTCGAAGCTCCCACCAAATCACCACCTGCATTTCCAGCAAGGCCACTGGCCACTGATGGGCCACTCTGGACCCCCATGGGGAGCAAAGGTCAGACACAGGGCCAGCCCCTGAAGTGCCACTCCTAATGAGGTTCCCATCCTGCTCTCGGAAGAGAAGGGGTGCCTCCTCCTCAGCACATCCTTGGTCCCCAAGTGGACCCTGGACTCATCTCCTGTACCTAATAGGAGATACAGGATGCATTCAGGTTGTCCTATTCACACCAAGTCCCTGGGACAAGGGAAGAGCTGCCTTTGGCTAGTTCCTGCCAGTCTACCTTGTCCACTTTGGCTACCACCTGTAGGCAGGGCCGGAAACTTGTTGGTGCCCTTCCCTGGGAAAAGAAAACTGGGAACTCTGTACTCAGAACATCATATTATAACACAAATGAATGATAATAAACAAATACATTAACAATTATAGTGACTGTCATTTACAACAATGACCAAAGTAGAAGCCATTTAATTCCTCTCCACGATGGGCCACATGTGGATTTATGGAAATCCTGTTGTCTGAAGTCTCTGAGATTGGTCATTATCGTCTTTGTTCCTGCTTTAGCACTCAGGGCACAGGTGCAGGGAGGTGACCTGACCTGACCAGGGTCACACGGTGAGCTGGGCAGGGCTAGATGGAAGCTCAGGGGGCTCTGACGTATACTGACATGAGCTTGGACAATCAGACTGACCACAACTCTGTAAGAGTCTTCCCCTCTCCCCAAACATACACATACACCCCCAAACCCAACCATCTCAACACACAACTGAGAGGGGAGTTCTAGGATGTGCCTGGCCTGGCCTGGAACACCCCTCCCTTCCCCCATACTGCCCGTGGAGGCACAGGCAAAGGCACCCTGGACTTCTCTGGATAGGAGGAAGGACCTGCCCCACAGGGTGCCCTCCTGCCTTGCAGAAGGGCTTCATCCATGCTGGGCTGGGACTAACCCAGGGCCCTGTGGGGACCGAAGCAAGGGAGACACCTTTTCAAAGCAGCCAACCGGCCAGGTGTAAACCACACAGGTGAAAAGCGACCCACTGCGGAGCTCCAGATGCCCCATCGAGAAAAGCCAAGCACAGGTCTGCATGTGCTAAGGCAGATGCACCACACCCGGCCACGGCGGAGGGGATGAGTGAGCCTCATGGCCGCACACTGCCGGGCGCTTGGCCTGGCCAGCCTCTGCCAGCAACTTGGAGACCCCTCACCTGGGAGGGTCTATGGCATAGCAGGGTCCTACACAGTTGAGGAGCCACCCCAGGCTGGGCCCTGGTTTCATACAAAAACAGAACACCCATCTCCCCACCAGCCCACACTGCGGCCCACTCCACCAGGCCCTGCTTACCCCATTCCTTATGTCGTATCCAGCAGTGAGCAAATCCGACAAAGAGCCGGTTTCGTTTTCAGGGCCTCCTCTTTTGTGCGAGTGTTGAGTCCTCAAAAGTCAATATTCCAAAATGGAGATGCCCTGGCTGGCCCCACTGTGTACTCAAGAATCGCAATCTGGCCACCGTCTGTGGACCAGGGTATTTATTCTCTGTGGCAGCAGAGGGGACCCTGAAGCTTTGACGAATAGCAACTACACTATGAGGCCCTGGTCCCAGCTCTTCTGAGGCTCTGATCTTTGCTCCTTGCCTTTGATCACGCCTGTGAGCCTAGTGAAAAGGAGACAAAGTGCCTTTTGGGGTCTGTTTTAATCCTGGGGTTTACCCATCAGCCTCTGCAGAAGACCAAACTTCTCATCCAATGAGCACTGTCACCATCTTCCATGGACCAGGGGGAACATCTCTGGCTTCTTATAATGACTAACCCCATCGCCGACCAGGCCAGGCCAAGCGGCAGCTCCCGCTACAGTGGCATGCCCTCAACACTGTGCCGCCTGCCTCTGAGATCACCCCTGAAGTCCCACCCTGGGGTTCATGTCTGCTAGGTGCCTCTGATAAAGTCATAAATAAAATTTAAAACCGGGAGGGGGTGCCGGGGAAAGCAGGCTAGCAGAAACCATGAGCAAGGCCAGCCTCTCCAGGACTGGAGCGGACTTTCATCCTCGGGTCCCTGCTGCCAGACCCTGCTGAAATGGTCTCCCGTGGCTCTCCCCGAAAGGAAGACAATCAGGGAACCCAGAGAGAGCGAGGCATAAAGTCTGGACTACACAGGCCTTGTCCACGTTCCCGGAAACAGGGCCTCAGTGCCAGCCCAGGACTCGGGGCGTTATGGAAACCGGCCGCAAGACTGTGGTGAACGCAGGCACCCGGGATCCAAACCACATCCACAAGGTGGGAAGGGAGGGGAATCGCACCTGTGGCACTACCGCCTTGAAAAGCAGGCTTAATCCACAGCGACAGGTTTCCTGTAGCCCTGGAGCGGTACATGCACGCATGGACACACGTTTTAAAATCCCCAGGAGCCAGAACCAATGAGTTAAAATGAAACAAAGCTATGGCGGGCCTGTGGTGATCGCCTCAGCTACTGAAACCCAACTCTGGAGAAATTAATTTCTGTGCTACCTTAAAGCCCCATAATCCCAGCTAACAAGCATTCCTTCACCTCTCTCCTGCTTCCCACAGTCTCCCCAGGGCCACTGGCCCAGTCTGTGTGTGACCCACCTATAAAGAGACATTTATTACAAAAAGTTAAGAGTTGTTTTTCATTCCACGCCACCATAAAAGACGGCAGGCACACCAGGGCCTCTGGCTCCACGGTGAACTGCTGGGATGGGAGTGGAAGGGTTCTCCTACAGCTCCCCAAAATGTCCAAGACAGGGCTGTGGCTTCCAAGTAACCTTTCAAACACATCTATCCCCCAAACAGATGTTTGCTCTTTCTATTGTTCCAGACGCCCTTTGGAGCTTATTTTAGGAATTCACCAGTATTTTCTCTGGCTAGTAGCCTGCACACCTGAGATGAGAAGCTGGACTTCACGAATTCCAAGTTCCAGACTGAAGGACGACGGTGGAGTTCTTGCAAGCTGGCGGTCTCTTCAGGTTGGGGAGCAACCTCCTTCGGGTGTCCCCTGGACTGTAAAAGGCCTGCCCCGCGGAAGGAGCCCTCTGAGAAATCCCTTCGTTAATATTTAAATACTCACTAAGTAGCGAAAGTGAGAAATGCACTTACCGTCCTCCGGAGTCGCCCTGAACGGATCGTGCCCGCAGCGCACAGGTCGACAGTCCTGCCCTTGCCGGGCGACCGCGCCTGGCCGTAGCCAGCGCAGTGCTAACGTGTCCACGGCCGCAGAGGCTCTTGGCCGAGAGTGCCGGGTTCGCAATGCTTGCCTCCTTCCTGCGCCGAAACCTCGGACAGAGCGGTGCGGTTCCCGCAACTCTTGGGGGTGGAACGGCCCGGCCGCAAACACACGGCCAGGCCCCGCGCCGCTCCTTCCTCCGGCATCCTGGTATTCAGCGAGCGGCCGCACGAAGAGTGGTCCGAACGACCTGGTCACCGCGTCCGCGACCGGCGCCGCCACCGGGGACCTTTGTCCCAGACGAAAACGAAAGCGCGCCGGCCCTGGAGCGCCCACGCCCTACCGCGGAGGGCCTGGCCGGCGCGCCCCGCGACTTTCTCCAAGTTCACGTGCATCCCGGGGCGGCCCGGCGGGCGCAGCGGACCCGGACTCGCAGAGCCTGGCCGTCGGGCGGGCGCGGGCCAAGGCGGACTCGGGGAGGACCAGCCCGTGGTGATGGCCCGGGCACAATGGGCGCCGCGGAGCGGGCGCGGGGACAGCGCGGGCCCGGTCGCCGCGCGGCCGCTCGTCTGGCGCTGCCCGGGCGCCGAATGCGGCGGCGGCTTGGCACAGACGCGCCGCGCGCCCGGTGCATGCTAATGGCCGGCGGCCGCGCCATGAATTATTCAGCAGCGGCGCGGAGAGGGCGAGCGCGGCGCGGAGGGCGGCCCTGGCCGTGCGTCCCCCGCCGCTGCGAAGCGGCCGCGGCGACTTCCCAAACTTTCCCGGGTCCGCACCGAGGATGCGGCCCCCGCGGTGCCGCCGTCCCCGCCCGAGCGCGCCGGCCGCGCTTCCCCCGTTGCCGCCTATTTTATGTCTTTTGTCTCGGAGTTGGCACCTGTCCCAGAGAGCGCGTTTCCCTGCCCACCCCTTCGCCGCCGGATCGGGGCGGGGAGGGGGTACGGGGGACCCGGGGAGGAGGGGACAGAGGAAGCAATGCGCCTGCGGGCACCTCAGCCCGAAGAGATCGCCCGGGGGTGGCGGCCGTGCCCGCACACCAGGGCACCCCTGCTCCGCGGGCAGGTCAGGGCTGCGGACGCGTCCGGAATACTGACGAGGCGCCTGCGGCCCCCGCAGTGCCCGTTGCGGGTGAGGAACGGGAGCCGCCCCTCCCGGGCTCCCCCCAACCTCGGACCAGCGCGCTCGGGCCCGGGCGGGAGGCAAGAGCAGCGGATTCGCCGCCCCGGCCCCGCGCCTCGCCCTGCAGCCCCGCGTGCGCGCCCCCGCGGGCACGCCGCCCCAGGCGCTGCGCGCCCCCGCCTCCGCCCCGCCCGCCCGCCCTCGCCCGAGCAGGGGCGCCACGCCGCGGGGACCCACTAGCCTTTTGCTTCGCGACCTGGGGCCCGCGCGACCGAGGCGGGCAGGCAGGCGCAAGCTCCCGGGCCGGCCCGCCCCCACCTCCCTGGCACCGAAGCGGCTGCCGGGGCGCGCTCGGCGGCTGCGCTCCAAGGCGCCGGCTGCCATGATTGCGGGCAGCGGGACGCGCGCGCACGCTCGGGCCCGGCTCCGGGACCCTCCGCGGACCGACAGTCGCGGCCTGCCCGCAGCCCTGTGCGCGCTGCGGGCAGCGCGAGGGTCTCCCGGCTTATTTCAGTGGGACCATTGTGTATCTTGGAGCTCTAGACCAGGCACTAGGACAGTACTCGTGGCCGACAGTGGCAGTGGCTTTCCCCAGGGCAGGTCGCGCGCACGGGCGCCCAGCAGCCTCTTCCCGGACACCACCGGCCCCGCGGAGCAAGGGGCGCGGTACCCTTTGGGCTGTGGTGGAGCGGATCCCGCGAGCGGGAGTGGGAGGACAGCGCACTATGCCGGAGATGTAAGGGGGTCGCGCGAGGTGCCTGGCAAAGTTGGGGGGCGCTCACGGTGCCTAGGGAGGCATGGAATGGGCCGGGGCACAGTGCCCAGAGCCACTGCCCAGCTCGGAACTCGCCCTCTTCCTTCCCTGTGGAAACAACTTCCTGCTTCCCTGACTCAGGGCGCAGAAACTGCGGGGAGAAGTTCAAGGCCGCAGCTTTGCTCTCAGCCCGACGGCGACACTGCTGGCTCCAGGCCACACTGTTCTTTCCTGGGCTCCTTCAGGGGAAGGGGAACGCCTGGGCTCCATGGCCTGGACACTGGTTAGGATGTCAAGGAGTCTGCAGCGTCTTTCCCCGCCGGCTTTGCAGGGGCGTCCGAGCCGTCCGCAAACTGCAGAGGCGCAGGCCTGGGACTCTGGCCCTGGGGAACACCCGTCAGCACACAGTCGCTACACTCAGACCCCTTCCCCCTGCCTGGGTATGCTCTGGCTCAGAGCCACGCCGACCTAGCTCTTCCTGAACGCCAGCGATGGCCCCGTTGATGGCCAGGGCCCGAGAGAAACATGGCCTCGGGGCCCCATCCCACTCTCTGTGCCTGTCTCCCCCCTACTACCCCCCCTGGCCTTGGCATTCTAACCAGTGTCCCTTGACGTCACATCTCGCCATTTCTGTCAACCAATTGAAACTTGCCCGTTGTCATAAAAATATATATTTTTATGCCATTGGTAAATTCAAAAGTTCCTTGCATGCCCAGCTGCCCAGGAAACTCCACTCCACGTTGGATTGGATTGCCCAGGAGGGGAAAACTGGCCACTTAGTTAAGGCTGGGCTAGACAGCACTGTGAGGACCCGGGGCTGTCCAAACTCGGTGGACCCCATGGCCTTGGCTAGTGCTGGACACTACACACCAGCATCATCACCACAACCCATGACACAGAATGGGGGGGGGGGGGCGGGAATCCAGGATATGCTAAGAAATCTTCCCAGTTGCTTTCCTGGGAGTCTGGGGTGTGGAATCTTACTTCTTTTTACTAGGGTTAGCTTGCTTTTTCCCTATCAGAAAACTAGGGTTTAGAAAACAGAGCCGAAACATTTCCAGCCCACGTTTTCACTGGAATTTTTACCAACTTTCACTTTCCATGGCTGCCAGCAGCAGTAAAGATTCGGCCCAAGCAGGAGCCATTTCACTCTTTCCTGCAGAGGGTGCATTGTGGCCTCTGCCTCAAGAGCTGTGGGACCCAGGGCCAGGAGCCCTGGAGCCCTGTGCCCCTTCCTCAGAAGACAGCCTGAGCTCAGGAAGGCCATGCCTCTGACAGAAGGACAGGGAGAATCAGTCTTGTCTAGCACCGTCCTTTATAAAGTCTTCACTGTCAGAGTTCCCAACCAGGAAGTGTGGGAAAGGAGCATTACATCCACCCAGGGTGACTGCACTGGCAGTCCCCAAAAGCTACTCGGATCCCTGTGTGAGCCCCCTTCTGCTCCACCCACACCAGGGACAAGCTCAGCCACCAACTGCCATTACCAGCTTCTCCTGTGCCCCTCCTTACTGCACGGTTCAACCACTTCCAAAACATGAAAGACATCTTGAGGTTTAGTAAGTTCAGAAGCTCCAGCAGAACAAACTGCGTAGGGACAGGGCCGAGGGCAGGGATCATAGCAGTATAAGCACCAGGCCCTTTTAATGCCGAATCTCACTTTTCTAACCTAATGAGCAAGCTCAGAACGACCAAACAAATGGGGGTTCTGAACTAAATATATGGAGACTTCCCATGTAAAACTCTTCTCAGGCACAAATTCTGAAAATGCTGCATACCTTTGAGATATAATCGTGAAGAAATAAAAGACTGTATCCAACAACCACACCATAATCTATTTATAATCACTTTTCCAAACACTATAAATATTACAACTAACGTGATATACGTTTTGTGATTAAAACATGAATTAAATAGTGGATTAAAACACTGAATTTTAAAAAGCCACAAAGAAAAAGAGATTATCTTCCATTACGCCACTTACAACTTTGTTCCATTGGCACAAATACAAATTTGACAACGGTATCATTACTGAATGCAGTAGATGCCAGGATATTAGCTTTGTAATTTTCACCTGAAATCGTTGTATAATCACACCAGCTTGCTCACCTTCTTTTTATTGGCCATTTTTTTCTTGCTCTCACACAGTAATAAGTTAATTTAATGTATTTTCCCTCCTTCCAATTTTTATTTGATAAAACAAGAAATCAAGTGAGTCAGAAGAATATTCAAGAACACCCACTTTTTTAAAACTCTCCCATACTTGGCAAGGATTTACACACAATTTGGTTGCAAATTCAGAAAACAAATTCTGCTTAATTCTAGGAAAATAATAGCGCTCAGGTAATTCCACTGGTATTATTCAGTTGGACGCTTTCCCCCCCCCTCACTACTTGCCATCACATATTATTCAAAGTAAAAAATATTTTTAAAGTGAGCTCAAAGACTCAAAAAGGGAAGATGGAAAATTTACATTGCTGATGAGCATTATGCTGGACAATTTTCCTGGAAGAAAAACTTGGCTTGTCCCTTTAGGCCACAACCATGCCTGAGGTCAGATGTTTGAAAATAAGTCCTAGGAAGCCTGTCGCTGTACCAGGATGTTTATAGTATCAGCCTTATACAGTTATTTTTTCCTGATTTCTCCCAAGATCTGCCTAATGGGAATGCGGCCGGCAACTTCCTGCCATACCCTTGAGCCCTGGCTCTCTCTCCTTTGCCCTTGGCCAGCGGTCCAGCCTCAGAAGGCTGGGGGTGGGCTTCAGTTTCAATTCTCTTCTCTCCTCATAGCGACATTTAATAGTGTTAAATTTCCAGGACCCGAGAAATCACGAGGACTTAGTAAGCAGATGCATTTAATCTAGTCAAAGCAAGCAGATACATGTGAGTGAAACCCACTCGGGTTCTGATCCTTCAGTTTGCACGTCAAGAACTGTGATGTGTCCAAAGCTGGCCCGATAAACCTGGGATCGCAAATCTGCCGAAGTAAGATGCCACTTGGATCAGCCCTGACAATGCGCCTTCAGAGTTGCTGCTAAGCAGCTTTGGTTATTCCGTAAAAAGGCAAACCAGGCTTCTGTTTTCTTTCTTTCGCCTTTGTCTCAGAGGAGTTTGCAGATTGGAGAGTCCATTTTAATACGCCTGGCTCGGGGTAACTTGTGCTGCTACTTTGTGAAGGCTTTACTCTCACTCACGCACAAAACCTATAGCATCCCTTTCCTTTGGGTAAATATGTGTGAGTATATACATATTATCAGAAATACATAGCCGCACACAGGTATGATTTCTTACAGAGAAAGTTGAGGAAGGAGAGAACAAAAAACTCCTGATTTCCATAGATGTAAGACAGCAGAAGCTGCTGAGAGCTGATGTGGTCTAGACAGGGACAGGATCGAGCAAACTGCCACAGAAGGCACTCTCCTCCTTCCAGACATAATGAAGGCTTTTCACAATCTTTTGCTGCAGTCCCCCGTGTAGGTCACATTTGGTGTTGATTTACCACCAACAGTAACGCAGCCTGGCTGCAGGACAATGGTGTCTGAGGACACCATCTCCCCTTCTTCTTTCCTGAAATACAGAGAACACCCAGAAGCTGTCTGCAGCTGGCCACACCAAGCATCATGTCCTCTGCTCTCGGGGCTGCTGGGTGCTGACCCCATTCCATGCTGCTGGCTGGTTAGCAAGCTGCTAGGAGCCTGGCACCATGGACTTCAACCCACTTGGGAAGTTCACACGTTTGCTACCCACAAAGTGTCACCAGTGCCCCCAACTTGAAAAGAAGTCTAAAACCCCAAAGGCATTCTTAAGGGGTTAGTATCATTTCTCTAATAAAGGAAAGCTTAAAACCACAAGGAATCTATGATTAATGTGTGTTTAACCAAATGTAGATACATTAATATATTGTTTGGAATAGACACACACCAGTAGGGAGAATTTGCTTTTGTATAGATGAGCAACGAAAATTAATATTTTCCCTGCCAAAGTAGTAACAGCACAAAAAGATGATGGAGCAAATCTGATTATCTATGCATGCATCCTATGCCAAAACAAGATTCTTGGCTTTATGTAAGAAGCAAGAGAAGGTACAGTACAAACTAAAATTAAAAAAAAATAATAAAAATCACCTTTCAAAGAGAAGTGGAATCGTTTTAGAATGATTCTATTCTAAAATGGAATCATCATAAACTGGGAAAATATCATTTTTCTAAAGAATTGATTGTGTTAATTTTAGCATTTTATTAGCAACTTAACATATATTAGAATTTGGAGTTTTATAGTTTCTGGTAGGAAGTACCAATTTCCAAGAAAATGAAAGTACATCAGAAAAATTGGAAAGAATTTTACTCCCCCAAAATCCAAAGTCTTCTTTCCTTTTACAGCCAAGAAGCCCGAATTGTTGGAAGTGTTTTTGCACTTTCTCCATCCTTTCCTGGGGTCTTAAATTGTTATTACTTTAATGATCAAATGTTCTTTTGAATCACATCTAGGCAGAATTGAGCTGTGTAATTTTAAACTTTAAAAACTGTCTCAAATATTTATGTTTATGCTTCAAATTTTTAAATAATGCTGAAATGCTAATGAAAGTCAGTTGAAATTTCTTTTCCCCGTAGCTGAAATGAGAGAAGTTTACTAGTATTTCTTAGATACAGAGTTCTTCAGTGGGCTGGTTAAATTAGAAGCCTCTAGAATAAAGGAAAAAAAAAGACAGGGAGAGGAAAAAGCTGATTTAAAACTCAAAATGGCTCATTGTTAAATTGCAAGGGATTGCAGGATTTTTTTTTTTTTCAAATCAAGACTTCACGGATTGCTTCTTTAAAAGGATTGCGACAGCACTTAGCTGCCCGCAGAAGGAACGCAGGCTGAACGTGGCATTTTGAGGAGGGGGGAGGGCTGCCAATTACAAATTGCTTGAAATGTGAACACACTGGTCATATTTATCGAAATGCTCTTATTGGATTCTTGTAAAATCCAGTATGATTTTGCACAACACAAAGGAGTAACTTCCTACAGAAAGACAGTTTCATTTTCCTATATCTATGTATCCCAGTTTTTTAATATGGTCACCTTCAAGGTTAAGGTCTAATTTTTCACATATGCCCTTTCTACAAAAAGTACAAAAATATTTTAACAACATTTACCACTGCAAGAAAAGATACTATTTAATGCTTCCAAAGGAAGATACCAAAGAAGAAAACGGATGCTTTCGTTTTGTTTCTGGCTATTTATAGAGCAACTCTTGGTCTAATTCCTAATTTCAAAAGCACTCGAAGTTCATTTTCTCTTACCAAAAGAAGTAGTAATGCAAGCTATCAGACAAGAATACATACTGGCCTTGGAAATAAACATCTATATAATTTTTACATGATAAATGCAGAATTTTAAATTGTATTTCAAAATAACCAGAGATATGAGATATTTTCAGTCCTGAGTTTGGTTTTCAATGAGAGGCAGAGACAGGGATTTTTAGTTTGAAGCAGAAGTTTGCACTTTTGCTAATACCTTACTCATTAACCAGCTTCAGCGCCCTCATACTCTGAACATGCTGCAAGCTTTTGCCCCACAGTGTGCCTCGCTCTTGACCTTGTGTCTCAGAGGAGGCACTGGACGAAGGTACTGCCGGCGCCCTCCCACCCTCCCAAAATCTCTCTAAAATTGGAAGTCTACCGCACATAGAGCACTGGGAATTTATAGCAGGACTCCGAGGCTCACTGGGAAACCTCTCGAGCTGGGAAAAAGCTTGTCAATGCACACCTGGCCCTACAGATTCGGAAAAATTAACCAGCTGTAGCCAAAAACCAAAACACTCAACCACCCGAACACAGTCTGCAAGAAACACAGAGTTCTTTGACGTGACAAGAAGAATTATAAATAAAATAGCTCCAAGGCAGACAAGCTGAATGAGCCTTTTAAGACAGCCTGTTGGTGCCTCAAACTTTAATACTTAGAGCACTAAAATTTCACTCCACGAGGAGAATATCCTGGAATATGCACTTGTGTGAGTGCACAAATATGTGTGTGCAAGTGTGTGTGTGTGTGTGTGCGCGCACACACAGACACGGGCACATGCATGTGGAACAATTAAAGTTCAGCTGCCCCTGTAGCCTAGGGGCTGATCTGAGGTCTTGCTGGAGGGCACCTGGCCCAGGTGAAGGGCAGGCCCTTGCCTGAGTCCTCTGGTTTCACCCTGTCTCCTTACACACTTGCCAATACCCAATGGCAGCCGAAACACAAGCTGTTGTAGATGACA